GTGCATGATACGTTTTTTTGTTTTTCGTTTTTTTTGTTATTTCCAGGAGATGGAAATGTCAGCTTCGAAGAGTTCGTGGAAATCGTGAGCAACATAGGTGCGAATGAAACCGCCCCCACCGATCAGGATCAGGAAGAGCAGGAGCTGAGGGATGCGTTTCGGGTACGTTTTGCCTTTTATCTTTTTCCTTTGTTCCTTGAAACGATATCGTTTCATCGCGGAATTCATCGCCGGCACGGAAAACGCGCGGTAGATACGATTCCATCGAAACGGAACACCCGTTCATTTAACAATCGTCGGCCGATATATCGTTTCGGTGTGTGTACATATATTGCGTTCTCCGCCCGGCTAATTTAGAATGGATCGTTTCAAAGCGGTCCGACAACGCCGATCCTCCATTATTGAATCTAGACAGGAGCTATGAGAGTTAACGAACGGTGATGGAAATCGATTAATCCGGGTGTTTCTAATAAGACGCCGTAAGGGTTCCAAAATTAATCGAGAACGAATATATAAAACGATATTAATATGATAAAGACGGATAATTACTGGTGAATTTTTCTGAGAATAATTAAAAATTTCAAAAATAAGATATTTGACGAGTGAAAACAAACGTAGAGTTTCTTCGATCGATCGATCAAATCAGACAGGAGCTATGAGAGTTAATGAATCGTGATGGAAATCGATTAATCCGAGTGTTTCTAATAAAATGCCATAAGAGTTTCAAAATTAATCGAGAACGAATATATAAAATGATATTGATATGATAAAGACGGATAATTATTGATGAATTTTTCTGAGAATAATTAAAAATTTCAAAAATAAGATATTTGACGAATGAAAACAAACGTAGAATTTCTTCGATCGATCGATCAAATCAGAAGTAACGTTCATATATCGCACAGAAACACAAGAATTATTTATGAATTATTAGAAAAGCTCCATAGGAAGATATCTTATATTGAAGAATTTAGATATAAAATGACATGATAAAGATGGGTAGGTTGCGGACGATTATTGGTGAATTTTTCTGAGAATAATTAAAAATTTCGAAAACTTTGAGTATTTGACGAGTGAAAACAATTAAACGTAGAGTTTTTTTCGATCGAGCGATCAAATCAGAAATGACGTTCACGTATCGCACAGCAGCACAGGATTTATTTATGAATTGCTAGAACAGCTTCATAGGAAAGCACTCTATACTGGAGATTCATACGGATCTCGGTTCCGTGTTTGGCCAGGTTGAAATTTTCGAGACACGTTCGAACGAAATATATATAAATCCCCAATAATAACGGTAGCCTGCATTCCTATGCGCATAATATATAACTTACTGCCTCTACGTGAGAAGTAGCTGTCCGTTAGGAGGAAACAAATCTTCGCGGAAAACAAGCCGCGAAGAGGGCTTTGCGCGCGGGATCGCAGCGGGTACGGATATCGAAATTATCTCTCTGTTCGTGTTTCGATAAAATGACGTCAAATGCGCTCGAGCCATCTCCATTTTAATTAAACTCCTTTCCTTTTTTTTTTTCTTCTCCTCTGACGAACGAAATTCGTCACCTGTCTTCGTTCAAACCTAATCGAAATTTAATTTAAACGCGATCGACGATCCATCGAAATAGCGAAAAACAAATAAAATTATTCATATACGAGGAGGATAGCTTCCATCCACCCACCTGATCCCTTCGTAGCTCGAAAGGAAAGTAAGAAACGAACGGCGATCGAAGTAGTTAAGTCGAGGACGCGGCTCTTTGTTCCAAGTCCGACGACGCGGTTTCCGTTCAACTGGTCCGTCGAGCCAAGCCTGAATGCAAACGTTAATAATAATTGTCAGATAACGAGTAACGAACGACAGATTTCGTTGGAACGCACAAAGCCTTTTGCGGCGCATCGCCTAACGAATGCTTCCTCCACAAAGAAACCGAGAAGAGACGTCCCGCTCCGTCCAATTCCAATTAATTCTCGCACGCGCGCCACGAATTTCTCCACTTTTCGCGTCTGCGACGAAATCGGGTGTGGGCGTAGCTCATTTTTGGAACGAAGATGGTTTGAGAAGAACGTGCCGATGCTTCGAATGCTTTCGCCCGTTAGATTAGTTTCGAGGCTGATGCCACGAATTTTCTACGAGCTGGCTGACCGTCCCAGTTTATAATCGTTGCATCGGCAAATACGGGAGAAACGGGGGAATTTATCGATCGAATTATCGAATTATTAAGTCAATCGGTCGGGAATAATAGCTAATTTCATCTTTGGAACATTGATTTGGCTCATTGAATGGCCGTAAAGTAAGCAAATATTAAAGTGTTAAATATTAAAGTAACGAAGCAAAATGTTCACAAGTTCGGAAAAGTCGTTTCGATCGTGCACAAGACACATTCGAAGACGCGAGATAACCGATTTCGTTTCGTTGCCGTGCACTTGTCTTCGCGGCTCGCATGCTTTCAAAGGCATCGCGATGCGTCGACGATATTAAGTCGATATGCAACCGTGCACTTTAAACGGGAGTTTTTTCCTTCGGGGAAAGAGAGTAGGTTCGTTTAAATCGCGATTCTCTCGACGTGGCGTTTTATTGGCCGGAGGAAACGTTCTTCCGTTTTCACGGAACTTTTTTTTTTTTTAACGATCTATGTCTTTTTTTTAATACCTTTTGGTCTCGCCATTTCATCGTTCTCGTGGGAGATTTTTTTTTTTCTTCACGTTTGCGAAGAAGTAAATGAAACGAAAAAGTAAATGAAATCGTGTTTCAGGCGAGTTAAATGGGATATCCGAAGAAGAGAATGATAAAATCTTTAATTTCGGAAAACTTTGTACGATCTTTAGAAATGTATTATTAATTTGTAAAATCTCGTTTCTGAAAAGATGCACTTGTGACGTTTCTTTTTTTTTTTTTTTTCTTTTTTGAAATTAATTAATCGACGAAAAGTGTAACGTATTAAATGAATGAATATTAAAAAATTTTAATAATCGATCGACAGTTAATCTGAATTGGCTATCGAATAACTAATTTTCTCGTTTATTCAATGGACGATTAAATATCTTGCCGGATCGTTAATTGCGATTATATACATGCACGTTAATCGCATTTCGAAAACCAAATATTTCAGTTCTAATCGTCAATTACGTAAAATATTGGCCAATAAACTGCCTGTATAAATAAATAATCGTGGCTCTCGGAGAGGAGAAATGTAGGAAAATTAAGCGGAATGCGGAGAAGGAGGGGTAGCTAGAAATGGAAATATGAAAAATAGTGCTATTCTCATCCGGTGAAAAGGAATTAGAACCAGCGTTACCAGCGACGATTTTCTGATTACCTAATGGTCTCCCATTTTTTTTCGTACCCCCTCCCCTCCCCTCCGCCGAAAATGTTCGCTAACTCTTGGCCGGATAACGGTACAAGAGCATCCATTCTTTTCAACGTCTGTGCATCGGACGAGGAATTAGAGGCATAGGGAAGAGAAACGTTTCCCTGAAACGGTGTTAATGACGAGGGGGCCGATCGTCCATTCCAAACTTCTAATTGATAAATTGAAGTCTGAACGAGTTCCTCCCACGACGAGTTCCTCCTCTCGGACTATTGTGAAACACGGATGCACCGTCTCAAAGCGTTGCGAGTAATTTAAAATTTCCTCGAATCTAAGTTTTCCCATTTGTCCCTCCCAGTGAAACCTCCCTCCACCCTAAACTGCTCTCTTCAAGCTTTGGACTTTCAGCAAGCTTGGTCTCCGCTTGATTTCGTTACGCCGGGGCACACTTCCCGTCCTTTTGAATTTCTTCGAAAACTCCTTTCTCCTTTTCCTTTTCTCTTCCCTTCCCGCTACATGCGCGCATATATAATAATCGAGCTGAGTCGAAAGTTGAAAAGTGGACAGAGAGGATCAAAGAGGGGAAATATTTCAGGGAAAGTTTTTGGCTGTGGAACGCGATGGTCCTCGAATTCGAAAGGGGAGAGGGAGGCGATTTCCAAGGCTCGTCGTCCCAAGATTCGACGACGGATCCTTTCATCGCCGTTCCTCTATTCTCACGGGAGAAGTTGGCCACTCATCCAGGTGACAACGAGAAAACAAGAGGAAAGTTCTTCCCGCGCGTGACGTGATCAAACCGAGATCGAATCGATGGGATTACAACCCTCGCCAGTGCTTGCAAATCCCTGTTTAATGTTCCATCCCAACTTGCCTCGCTTCCTTTATTAATACACCCGTGCCCTACATCCTGAGAGAATTTTTCGAGAGAAATTTTTCGAACTCGAAAAATCGAATTTATTCCGAGGATCCTTTCTTTCTCTTTTTCCTCTTCTTAGATTTCCTCTTCTTGTTAACTCGATGATTCAAACGTTACGTTAATTTTTATTCTTCCGTATGTAATTTTAGGCCAATAGTTTTAACGTAGAATCGAGTATAACCGTGTTTTCGCGGGTTCGAAAATTCGACGTACTCCACTCGATGATCGACGAGTAGAGTTGTTGATCTTCGGCCCGAGCGCAAAAGCAACAAGTTTCCGCAAACCTGCGTCGAGTTAAACCCGCCTGTTATTCAACCATTGTAGTAGCATCAACGTCGGAAAAAATATCGTCGTTTCGATAAATTTCACGTGAACAACGACGCGATGTATATTTCTTTCGATCGTCCTCTTTCGAAGGAGATGGATCATATTTCGTTTCCGTAATCTGGCGGATCTCTTCGTAGACTAGGGATTAGGGTATTTCACGAGTTTTTGCGCGCTTGATGCCACCGAGAGAGAGAGAGATACAAGGCTTATCTCGAACGACAACGAGGAAGAAGTGGTGTAACGACCCACTTCTACGTTTACATATGCAGACGAAATCCGACTGGCAATCACGAAGAAACGAAGCCAGTTGTTAACTTAGAAGTTGCGACGGAATCAAGCGCGATGATTAAGCGAGGAAGGGATAATCCTTTCAAGAGTGACTAGAGCAGAAACTTTTCTGCTGATCGGTGTAACAGGTTTGTCAGCTTTCAACCGGGGGAAATTGATAAGGGACAGGATGCGAAGATGACTCTGTCATCTTTGGAAAGTGAAACGTACGTACGTACGGAGCATAGAATCCGCTAATGGAATCCTCCTCGATCGATTTCCGTATCGAGATTCCCTTTCGGTATCCGGAGCCCGCGCGTCAACCTCTGATGGACGTTTGAATAATTATT